GGGGGGGGGGGGGGGGGTTACGCGTGCCGATAACGAGTCTTGTGCTACGGTTGCCGTCGTCTTACGAGTACCTTCGAGTCCGCTCTGGTCCGGAAAGACACCTAAAAGTCCGAGTACGTCGGGAGAGAAAGCACAACAAACAGCACCCTGGGGAACAACCGAGCTTGTTCCCAACCTTTTAAGTCAGATTCGCTTGCCACTTCGACCAGCTTTCTGTGAGCAAACAAGTTGTCGTCTACTCTGTGCAGCGGCAAACGGGTAAAAACCCACCGTCATCCGGCCGGAATCCATCTCCGCTGTAGGTATTGCGGGGACAGCATGGTCACACTCCACCGTAAGACAAGTGGGTGCATGCGCTGACTGGGTTCGCAAAGGAAGGAAGAAGACCAACGCTCGAGGCAACCAACACAACTATACCCACAGTCTTGGGGTATTTGAGTGAACCCGCACCACTCCGGTGATGTAAAAGCGGACGATATCGAAGACACATGTAGGCATCTCACCACCACGCTGTTAGCGTGTACCTGTGATGGCTCCGTAGAGAGTGGTGAGCCTGGTCTTCGGCCTCGCGACGTGGGTGTCGAACATGTCGTTCGCTCGTGCCTGAAGCGTCGGGTAGGTGTTCCCATGCCTGCATGCAGGTTAGGGAGTCATCAAAGGGCGAGATCGAGGTCTGAGCGTCGACGTGCATCAACAAAGCATGAGCAAGAGTTTTGAGGGCCGAAGTGCATCAAAACACAGGATGAGTCAGAGCTCTCAAAGTGTCATAACATTGCGAAATACAAGGGGTGACTATCAGCTCTCACAAGTGTCAAACGTACCCTTGTGCTGCGTGTATTGTTTGCCACGGGTTTACTTGAGCGGTCGGTGTCAGCGTACGACACAGGCGATGGGAATAAAAAAGCCACAATTTCAGCCCGGAAACGCTCACGGCAGAGAAGCAAGAGCGCAACAACACCGCAAAACAGCATACGAGACCGCCGAGACCGCCGGGACGGGAGGGTGATTGAACGATAACATACGGAGAAGTACCTTGGAGTGAAAAATGCTGATGATGCACATCCATCACCCAGTAAATGCAACTGTCGGTGGGTGTTCTTGTTGCAGGGGGGAGGCGTGACTCTTGACCAGTTTTTTTTTTTTTTCCGGAATCATTGCCGTTTCTGCCGGGCTCCTACGGGTGGCGTCTCTTCCCCGACGACATGTCGGGGGAACTGATGATAACGTCTTCGTGAAAACTCCGCTGGGTCACTCCGCTTCCGAGATTTGGGCAGGGGAAAATATCACACAATGAGATCCCTTCCTCTGGCGGCGGGTGTCAGCCCCCCCAATCCCTCTCTCTGCACCCTCCCCTACCCTCCTCTGCCTCTCTCACTTGTCACAGATAGCTCGGAGAAGCTCGGCCGCGTAGTCCCGAACGTCCCAGTGCGTCCACTTGGGGCGCGCCGCGGAATGCACTCCAATACCCCCAAACGAAGAGTAATCACTGTTCGCGGCACCCCCGTTATCGGGCCCTGCTCGCTCGAAGTCTATGTGAAGCAGGCAGCTCATCAACGGTGGCAAGAGCCGATCGAGCTGGGAAAGACGACAGATGGAAGTGGATGTAAAAGGATAGAAACGTTGCCACTAAGCACAACCAAGGAGGGGGGTACAGTGACTACGTGCACCCTTGATGGTCTTGTCAGGACACGGTTGAGATGCACTCGCAGTCACAAACGAGCAAACATCATCATACTCCCACAAAATATATATATATACTGTGTAAGACTAGGTTCAGATTTGGAAATGCTTCCCCAGAGTCTCAAGAAATTACTGATTCTCTTTGGGCTTGTAACATTTTGTGACACCATGGACCGCAAAACCGGGACCACGCCTGCGCCGACGATGGCAAGAACAATGCTATCAAGTATAAGTAGCCACCACTCACGTAAATCTCAAGGAAGGCGAAGTTCTTGTTGTTGAGGAGACACTGGAGCATCTGCAGCAAAGCCGCCAGCTGGTCCGGCTCCTTCTGCCGCTTCAGGTACTCCGGCACCTAAACCGACGCGAGCCACGTCGAAGTTGGTTGAGAGTGATTGGTCGGTTGCACTACACTGCTGCTGCTGTTTTCGCTGATCATTTTTATGGTCATGTGGTTGTGTTGTGGTTTGTGTTCGAGGCTCATATGCAGCAGCGGCAGCTGATTGTGTTATGGTCCTATGGGTGTGTTTTGGTCACAGTTGCTGGGGCTCGTTTTGCGGTTTCGCGCACAAAACAAATATTGTAGCCTACGTGACCAAGCATTTTCTGCTTCGGTGTCATACCACCAGTACAAACCCGTGAAAGGTCCCTTCAGCAGCATACCATACTACTAAAAGTCGATACCGTCCGAGGTACCCAACCCAGGTACATCAACAACAGAGAAAGAAGGGCGCACAGGAAAAAACGCCCAATTGCGCAAACACTGAGAATCAACTTTCTTTAAGGTCGGTGAACCATACCAAACGCACCGTCCATTTTTCCCCGACCAAGACATTGGTGTCATATGACGGTGCCCCTGACAAGCAAACGAATGTATATCCTACGTACTATGCTGGTAGGGGGCCCCGTGACCGTTGGCGCGGCCTTGCAGAACATCGCCGTTAACAACAAAAAACAGCGGGCGGGCGGCTCTGTATTGACCTAACGCCGACACCCTCCTCCGACTCCGATCGACACCTAGAACAACACACACCTTTGTTTGGATAAAGGTGCACAAATGCGGGAGGAGTTGCTGCAGACCCGGGTCCTCCCTCAAGCTCGCCAGCGCACGGCTGCGTTTCGGCTCGTCCCGCGACAAGATCGCATCGCAACATCTGGACCCCCAACACACCCGTCGAGTGCGGCGAGCACAAGCAGCAGTGAGCGAAAATGTTCCACCAGATGTTCACAACACATACCTCCTCATACATCGCGCTGGCTCACGTCGTTGGATGGGCGAAGCACTCGGCAGCTCTTCAAACAAGCCGGCGTTGTGGACGGCGACAAGACGGAGACATGAACAAAAACATCTGAGCCGCCGCACCTCCCCCAGCAGCGGGAGTATTCGGTGGAGACCGAGAAAGAACAAAACATAAAACAATAGCAGCACCTCCCGAAAGCGACTCACACACCAAAACAACAGCAAATAACCACCACAAAGTCACGTCAACACTATTCGAAAAAAAAACATGCGAGGGGAGAAAGGCATGAGAACACCCCCCCCCTCCCCACCCACCCCCTGCAGCCCCACTAAAAAACAACACATATACACATAAAACAAAAGTGGTACATTGCATACCGGCGGAGATAAGTGGTGAGCTCCTCGCTCAGGCGTGCACGCACGGCGGAGCTCCCACCGCCGCTGCCCCCCGCCCCGCCCCCGGCCTGCTTCCCCCGGCCCCTCTTTCCACTCTTTCCCTTGCCTGCCGACAGGTAGACGAACGCCGTCGCAGCCACAGCCACAGAGAAAGAGGGGGCACGATCGCCGGTTACCACCGGTTCGAGCGGGGGGATCGGGTGTTGCGGTGATTGCGATGGGACAAGTGGGGGGGGAGGGACAGAGGGACGAAGCCTTCCGGTCGGGTGTACACAGAGGTGGTGGGCTCTGCCTGCTTGAGTTGCGTTGTGTTTCGCGCAGCAGAGCAACGTTGAGGGGGGGGATTACGTTGGCCTTTTTGTCCGCCATGATGTAAGAGTGAACCACGTAGTTATTTGGCTTTAGCGATTCACCGAGTGGGGCCATAAGCCACCACCTCTTCAGAAAAGTCGACAATGAAGAAAATCGCGGGCCAACAACACCCACTGCAACAATACCCACGGTCTTGTGCCAATCGTCACACGCAGCGCAATTGTGACTAACTCCCACAGCGTGCAGGTTGCATGCCCCACCTCCCATCGGTCGAAGAACGTGCTTCAACATCACCATTACGGGGAAGATGGGCACCGCCTTCCACCAATCTTACCTCTGATCCAGGGTAGAAACTTATGACCGTTGACTTGCCTACTGGTCGGTTCGAACGACATTGGAACCCCTCCAGATCATAATTGCGCCGCACCTCTGCCGGAGGAAGGGAGCGGGTTCTGAGGGAGAAGGGGCTGCTGTCCGTCTACGGCGAGCCAGTGCATGTGGAAGCCGGGCTCGATCGGGCATACCGGGAGCGTCGCATTAGCCACCTGTGCGGAAGGTTTCCACAACACGGGGGATGGAGTGCACAGCAGAACCGGCAACATCAATCCCAGCGTTAAAATGACAGCGGCAGCAGCAGCAGCAGCAGCAGCAGCAGCAGCAGTAGCAGCAGCAGCGCCGGCATTGAAGCGATCAACAGTGCGAGCCGACAACCCGGAGAAAACCTTCAGGTCGATGTTCATGCACGAGCAAGCGCAGACCTCGACAGGACCAGCAAGTGACAGACCCAAAGTCATTGCCAACCAGACGAGGAAAACGAAGGAACATTGACACTAACAGCTACTATTCCAGCCAAAAAACACTCCAATTTTCAGTCCCGCGTCGATAGAGCAACTAGACACCAGCTCCTCGGGCAGCCCAGACACTCAGTTCATCACGTAAAAGAACGTCCTTCGGGTGCTGACAGCGCTCTCTTCCTGCTCGAAAAAAGGCCCAAGGAGTCACCCGAGAACCCGTGTACTCTGCTGGAAGGGCCTCAGAACCCCCCCCCCCCCGCAAGCTCATGTCCTCACCTTCCGCAAGTCAACCTTGCCGTCCGCGGTTGCTGAATCGTCGCTGTCCTTCGATTTCGATCCCCCTCCGGCGCAGACGAGCGATGTCTGAGCAGCCATCATCCATCCATCGAAAGTGGGGGGGGGTGTACTCATAGTCGTGCATGCCGTAGTCGTTAGACCATTGACCTCGCATCCCTACAAAGCCGGGACGGAGCACGCCGGGTCCTCACCGGACCAGGCTCTCACATCGCCAAGCGCGAAGCGCCGTGAGGTATTCGGCGAGTCGCATGAAGAGTGCGCTGCATCCTAAGGGTGTTTGGCAATTGTACTTACTTCCTTGCGTACGGATGACAGATGACTAAACTCATTTTCTGGTGCTTTAACTTCCAGAGCAGTTGTTAGCACTGTGTAACTGCCTCGAGGGTGCTTGACCAATGCAACACAACGTGGTGCGACTATCCCCCTTGCGCGGAGTGAGGCTTCTCCACCCCGCACAACACAATCTGCTCGACCACCACTCATGGTTACCGCAAACAAAAAAAGTCCGGGGGGGGGGACATCAATATCTTAAGATATGGAGCACTACTGTTCCAATCCTTAACAGCGAACTCTTCAACAACCGGACGATCTTCAACAATCGCCAGAAGCTAAATGACGAACCCTTGCTCGCACTATATCCGCGTGTTATTTCTGCTTGCACATTGTTCGATTTGCTCTTCCTAATCAAACTCACCATGACCCTCAAATATCTGACGATCCATCCAACTTTATCATCTCTCGAAGGGCGTTTCACTATTTTCTAGAAAGTCCACGGTCCCTCGATGTTGCGACGTCTACTCTCTCTGCCTAGCCGCAAACGATGTGTCATCGCAGCGTCTCCCCCACCAACGCAGCCCTGACGAGATCATCCATACAACCGTTCCCGATTAATGTTGAGACAGCAACGACAACAATCCCTTCCCTACTCAACACCACCACGACATACTGCTTAAACCCCTGTCCTGTTCACACCATTATGAGAACAGGTCTTTTTACCTCGGCGCCGCGGAGTTCCAAGGAGGCGGTAACGTCATCGACCGTGAGGCGGGACCTCTTTCCGCGAGCGCGAAAGTTGGAGGCGTCGTTGATCACGTCGAGGAGGTGGTACTCGGCCGAAGCGGACAGAAAGGACAGGACGTCCTCAGATACCTCCCCCACCTGTGTGTGTGTTTTTTTTTACTATTAATGTCGACCGCGCTAACCGGCTGACCAATGAAAAGACGTCAGTCTCAGTGCGGTTGAAATAACAAAATACTCATATCTGTCACGAATTGGGACCCCGTGAGGGGGCAGCATGGGGGAGGCTATGTGTGTGTGTGTGCGTGTGTGTGTGTGTGTGTGTGCGTTTAGACGTCATGCACGAAGATCAGTGCCATGCCGCCAGCATCAGCATGATGCGGGAGGGACAAGAGTTTTGATTTCGTTGGGGCATTCGCTGTCAGTGGTTGGTGTCGAAGTGTGGTGCATTGCTCAAACGCCACGGATGCGCTCGGTGCTGTGCTGTATCCAAGAGCTATCTGGTTGGCCAGGTCAAAACAAAACGAAGCTGAAACCGGTGGAAGAGGCGACTGGGGACATGAACCCTGTCGCTGACTACCGAGGTGTGGCATGTACCGCGGTGTTTACAACCCCTTAGGCGGCGCAAGGTGACAATCACGTTCTCGAAATGTTTTTCGTCCTGTCTCTGTCGAGCACTCCGCCGTAGTTGGCAGCAACAGCAAACCCAGCTTAGGCCATTCGATTTACATTGAACACTAAATGCGATCAGGGAGTCTACGAGCCTACGACCGGGACAATCCAACCAAACGGCCCAGCCGGATGCTCCTTGTTGCAACCAAAAACGGTCAACAGCCCGACGGAAAAACATTGAAAGCGGACTCAGAAGGCATGGTTGCAGAATACCGCCGCGTGAGTAGCGAAAATGATGCATGATTATGAGTTTGCCCATGAGCGAGCGCGCGGGTTAAAATCTTGATTGAGCTCTTCTTGCCAAAAGCTATACTGCTGTACAATACAAACATCCTATAGGTTGTTCCGCACACCAACATGGGAGCACATTGATAACAGTGGTGAGGGCTCCGAGTATGTGTAAACGGGATGGCGAAACACACAGCAGTGGCGCGGTTAGGTGGACTCCTTGGAAACAACTGGTGAGAGAAGTAACGGCAGGACGAGCAGGGAGGGAGCAGCTCGAACGTTTTCAAGGTTACCCAAACGGGTTTAAGAAAATACAGCAGTTTCTGCCGCTTCGAAAACTGCCGTACTGGCCCAATGACTACTACCAGTGTATGTCCCGTGCAGTGCATATCTCAAATCAATCTCTTGCAAACGGACTGCCGTACTTTTTGTTATCCTTCAACTTTGAAAATGTGTCACCACAGGACATATCCCATCACATGGAGCACAGCGTATGCAGTCGACTTTCAAGCCCGGTGTCAGACGTGGCGGGAGGACCTATGGAGAGTCATGCCATGGATCTGTGCATCGGGTCTGGCTCCTGATTCAGCTACTTCATCCCTTGGTGCTTTATCCTTTATCCTATCATAGCGCTGCCTGGAAACTGTGGTGCAATCGGGCCGCTTTCCTTGGAACTGTGGAATTCCCAAGTAACTAAGGGTAAAAGTGTGGTATGGAACAGGGCTGGTGTAAATTGAGTGCAGTCAAGAGTACTAGGAAAGCGAGTAGGTGGAAAAGAGAGGGAAATGTTTGAAAGAGTACTGACCTATCGGAGGGTTGTGAGGCGGATCGGTATGTTAATCGGGGAATAAGTTTGAGGGGTTTGACAGGTCTTTGAGAGGATTGGATAGAATCTTAGATTCCCGGAATGCAAGTATGGACTGAACGTGATGGACTGTCAGTAGAGTTGAAGTTGAGAATAGGATATTGAGAATTTGTGGACATTTTTTTTTTGAATGGACGAAGAGACACCCACACGAGGTCAGTCTGACCCACCAGGAGTCTTCTTCCTTGTTGTCCCGGTACCAGTCAGAACTTCTAATAACACGACAATTTGATTGCAACTCTACTGGACTTAGTCAAAACATAACCACAAGGCCCTTGGCATCAACACAAATACCTACGCGGTGAGAGACGCACCCCGATCCCCCGAGACTGGCACCGAAGGAGGGGCGCAACGTAGTGGTCGTCTTGCGGTGTGGTTTGGCGTGGTTGTGATGACCAATACACCGAGGCATAAAGGTGAGAAAGACAAGGAGGAAGAAGGAGGGAAGGGTGACTCACCAAAAGGTCATGGAATGACTTTGAGGAGGACAAAGCGCAATTTGACGCGGCGTAGTGCAGAGGGAAGGGAGAAGAGGAGGATGGATGAGAGCACAACTGCTGTGAGCAGGGGGGATGGGGGGAAAGATATGCTCACACGCTCCCGAGGGGACGAGTGGGGGGGTGGAAGGATCGGAGGAGGGTTCGATCGATGTGTCAGAAGAGAGATACAAGGAAAACAGGAAGAGGCGCGAAGCAAAAGGAGGAACGAAAGTTGGGCACAAAGAAGGGAAGACAGATGGGCACGAAGGAGGAAAGGGTGGACAAGGAGGGGGAAAGGGAGAAGGAGAAAACATGGGCAGCGACCCACCCCAGGAGAGTAGGGAGGAGGGTATCCGTGAGACGGGTCGGAGGGTTAGCATAAAGGGGGCGGACCCGAAAGATGTGATACAACAGATGTCTGGGTCTGAAAATAACCCGACGATTCCCGCTGTGTCAATTCTTCCGTGTACCAATGTAGCTCCGGCGGTGGCTTCAGCCAACAAGGGCAAGGGCAAGGCCAAGGCCAAGGTCAAGGAGAGCAAGGAGTCGTCTGTCGTGCAAGTGGTCAAGTATGATGAAGAGGAGGACTCTTATGGAGGAGGAGGAGGAGGAGGTTGTGAGGAGGTGAGAAAGGGCAAGGGACCTGAGCCTGTCACTCAGCCTCGTGATGAGGAAGATTTTATGTCACGAATGCAGTCTTTCATGGCAAGTTTGTCATTTGAAGAAAAACAACGACTTGTTGGAGTGCCCACCAGAGAGGAACAAGTTAGATGCAAAAGGGAGCACGCGCTGCCCCGAGAGATGACGAAAGCATGGAATACCTTTACCATCGGAGGACTTCAGAGCAATTGCAACCAGAACGCGATGATGAGGGTTGGCCATAGACATGCAGGAACAGGAGGTAGCAGAAGCGAAACGAAAGGAAGAGAATAGAAAAAGAAAGGAAAACAGAAGGAGGAGAAAAGAAAGAAAAGACCAGCGGATTAGGGTTTCGCCCTTGAACCACAAGACAAAAACAGCAGTGGATTTGAGGAGGAAGAGGTAGTTTCTCCAGCAGGAACCGAAGAGAAAAAGAGGGCAGGAGGCCTTGACAAAGAATGGCCACCCTTGCAGTCGTCTAATTGGTTTGAGGCTTTGCGGTCGCCCACAGTCAGAACCTTCGACACCTTGGGTCACGGTCGCGCGTCAAAAGCCGAGAAATCACGGGCGCAACAACAATCCTCACACCCGCCCCAGCAGGTGCCTTTGACCGAATACCAAAAGGCGGCACGCAAGGCAGAACAGACACAGGCTCGGTTCGTGGAATCGAGTAACCGGTTGCACCAACTTAAGGAAGACGCTAGGCTAGGGCGCGCAGCTCGAGAGATCTACCGAAAGGAGAAAGACAGGATTGCAGCCGAGTTTGAGGAAAGGCATGATGCTTTTGCAGAGGAGAAGAGAGTTGCAGTGGGCCGAGTTGAGCCAGCAGAAAAGGAGGAGGAAGAAGCAACAGATAAATAATAACATGCCCGAATGGTATACCATGNAGGAGGAGGAAGAAGCAACAGATAAATAATAACATGCCCGAATGGTATATACCATGTGGCTAAAGCGGTCGGGGAGAAAATGCGGGAGGACAAATACAAAGCTCACGACAATAAGACCGACTACCTCGTAGCATACAAAGACACAAAGCAGACGGTTGACACTGTCTGGCAGAAAAAAGAAGCCAAATGTGCTGAAACCGCACAAGCCGTGAGGGAACAGGAAGGAGTTGTGAGAAGTCTGAGAAAAACAAAGGAGGACGCACTTGAGCTGAATAATAAGCTCGGGGCAAAATCGGGGGAGTCCCCGCCTCTCAAGCCACTGGCGGCGTCCTCATTAAAACAGAGGGACGAAGCGGCAGACAAAAAGGAGGCTGAGAAAAAGAAGGCCCTGAAGGCGAAAGAGAAGAAGGAGTATCAAATCCCAAAAGAAATCGAGCGTGAAGGAGGCTGAACTGATGAAAAGGGTAGCCGAGATCGTCGGTCGGTAACTGCCCAAGTCATGGCAGACATGGGTAACGAACCGGAGGAATCTGAGGGAAAATCGGTGCAAGTGAAAGAAGAAGAGGTGGAGCGAGACCTGCAAGGAGGATTATTGGGGGGTCGGGCACTCTCGAAGTTAAGTCAGAAGATACCCGGACGATCATCGGTGCTTGTTCCCCTGGCTCGCTGTCATCTGGTCAAAGCTTCAGTAGCAGCAGGAGCAGGGGTGGCAGAGGGGGTGGAAGGGGAGGAGGTGGAAGGGAAGGACGGGGAAGAGGAAGGTTCTCTCCCAGGGGCAAGGGAAGGGGGCAAGGACACTTTCAGAGAGGAGGATACAGCGGAAGGGATGAAGGTTGGATGGGACAAGGAGGAACGAATGGCGGAATGGGATGTGGATTTGGGGGAGGTGGGTCGGGAGAGTACCCGGTCCAGGGATGCCAAGGTGGATACCAGGGAGGTCCGCCCCAAGAAATGATGTACCCTCAGGGACAATTCCACCCGCCCCAGGGACTGCCGTCGCCGCACTGGCAAAATGGCAGGTATGTCGATAGCTATGGGTATGAATATGGCATTCCGATGTATGTGGCGAACCCAGCAAATGATATGTATATGGAGGCAAGAGAAACAAACTCTGGGATGGAACAATCTCCTATGGTAGTAGCAACGAAATTGCCTCCTGTGGTCACATTCAAGAGGGTAGAGTCTCCGAGGGCAGTAGAAGCCCTAGCTTCAGCAAAATTTTCTAAAACTTTACCTCTTAAAAAAGTTACGTCACTCTCTCGAGAGTCTGAACCAAATCCGGCTTTTTTCCATAAATTTTTAGATTGTGATAAGCCAAGGCCATAAATATGAGATATTGACTGCACCACAACTTTATCTTCTGGGATAGAA